GAAGGAAGGAAGGAAGGAAGGAAAGAAAAGAAAGAGAGAAAGAGAAAGAAAGAAAAGAAGGCAGGCAGGCAGGCAAGAAAGAAAATAGAGAGAGAGAGAGAGAGAGACGGAGAGGGAGGAAGGAAGGAGGGAGAGAAGGAGGGAAGGAAGGAAGGAAGGAAGGAAAGGAAAAAAAGGGAGAAAAAAGAAAAAAAAACTAGAAGGTATGGCTTAAGTGGTACAGTGTTATCCCTGAGCAACAACAAAGCCAAGAGATAGCACCCAAGCCCTGAGTTCTCGTACAACAAAAAAAAAAAAGAAAGAAAAAAAGAATATTATAAACATTTCCCCTATAGACATAATTATTTTATCACCTTATATTTCCTTCCAAGGCTTTGTTTATACATACAAATACAGATGGGAGTTTGTTAGCAAATCAAGACATTCTCCCTGACTTTTGCTACTGTGAATCCTGTACTTGAAATACTTCCACTCATACATAAATATTCCATTTAATGTCTATATATCATTGTCTTGTATGCATGCATACCAAATGCTTGAATCATTTTTTATAGGTAATCACTGGTTCATTGTTTCAAATCATTATGGTTAGAAAAAAATAACCCTGCAAGGAATATCCAGACACAAAATCTTCACCCAGAACTGCTTATTCTGCGGCAGAGATTCCTGTAAACATACCTACTCCGTCAACTATTTCAAAGCTTTGAAATATAATGCTAAATCCTTTGTGCAAATTATGTATCTAAAGTTTACAAGAGGGAGAAAAAGCTTTTTTTCAGTTTATGTTTTATATTTCATCTTTTTTGCTTCTTGAACAGAACACTCAAAAATTTAAAAACATACTTAGGAGTTATGTATGATGTGGTAGGAAGTATGAAGTTTTAGAATTCGATGAAATGTAACACTTAACCATGTAACAAAAGTTAGCATTTCCTACCCACCCGTAATCCCAGCCCCCCTTGAGAAACCGAGGCAGATGGGTAAGTTCAGACCAGCATAGGGAAACTCTCTCTCTCTCTCAAAAAAAAGTAAATTTAGAGCCAGCACACAGGAATATGGCAAAACTATTACTTAACCTATGTGGTACCTGAACATAATTTAAACCAAACTAATAACTAAAAGTACACTTTTAGGTTCACAGCAAAACTGAACAGCACATATAGCTCTCATCCACCCTGCCTACAGTGTCTCTATTATTGACACTGTTGGCTAGAGTGGAACGTTGGTTACAATCTATCAACTGGCAATGACACCTTAACACACAAAGTCCATCATTTATATTGAGTGTACTCAGGGTGTTGTATAGCTAGTGAGTTTGGACAGAAGATTGCTGACATGTGGACAACGTAATCTAGAAAAGGAACTGTAACACTCACAAAGAAAGAGGTGACTATAACCACATTTGGCTTTCCTAAAATCTCATTTTCCCTACTGAAAAATGATTGGATCGGACTGTTTCTGATTTTTTTTTGTACAAAGGGATTTTACTCTATTTCCATACATGCATCCCTTGATCAAATTCACTCCTGTTCTCCGTCCCCCCTCCGGTTGTAGGGCTTGAACTCAGGACCTGGGTGCTGTCCCTGAGCTCTTTTGCTCAAGGCTAGCACTCTACCAACTGAGTCACAGTGCCACTTCTGGTTTTTGAGTAGTTAACTGGAGATAAGAGTCTCATGAGTACTTTCTTGCCCAGACTGGCTTCATACCACAATCCTCAGATCTCAGCATCCTGAGTAGCTAGGATTATAGGTGTGAGCCACTGGTGCTCAACTCGCCTGTTACTTTTATCGCCTCTCTCTGACTAAAAATAATTTAACGTGTTTCTTTATTCCATTTTTAAATATATGTATAAAATGTTTCAGTCATATTTATCCCTTTATTCTCTCCCTTCCCAACTGCTACTGGCTTTCTTTTTTTTGGGGGGTGGGGGGTCCGGTTGTGGGTCCTGAACTCTGGGCCTGGGCGCTGTCCCTCAGCTCTTCAGCTCAAGGCTAGCACTCTATCACTTGAGCCACAGCGCCACTTCTGGCTCTTTTCTTTTTGCTTATGTGGTGCTGAGGAATCGAACCCAGGGCCTCATGCACACAAGGCAAACACTCTACACTGAGCCACTTCCCAGGCCCCTGCTATTGGCTTTTGTTCTCAGTCTCTATTTCTATCCCTCGTTACCTTTTCTTTTTCTTTGCCAGTACTGGGGCTTGAACTCAGTGCCTGGGTGGTGACCCTGAGCTTTTGTGCTCAAGAATAGCACTCTATCACTTGAGCCACAAATCCACTTTCTACTGGTTAACCAGAGGTAAGACTCTCATGGACTTCTCTGCCTGAACTGGTTTTAAATAGTGATCCTTACATATCAGCATCCTGAGTAGCTAGAATTATATGTGAGTGAGCACCCAGCCATTATTTTTATTTCTTTTTAAGGTGAGGATTCTGCTATTTCAGTTATAAACTGGATGCCTTGAGGTAGCCAAGCAGTAGGCTGAGGGAAAACAAACTGGTTTAGACAACGGAGAAACATCACATAAATCCTTGTCTCAGCCTTCTGAGTGCTAGAATTCCAGTGCATACCATCATGCCTGGCTAAAAATTCCCATTTTTACCTATCCTATATGTTGTAGTTCTAAGTGAAATTTCAGGGATGGGGCATGGCTCAAGTGGCATAGCATTTGTCTAACATGGGTGAGGTCTTGGGTTCAACTCCCCATATAACACAACAACAACAACAATAACTCTAAACAAAAATTTCATCCTGAAAAGCAAAACCAAGTTTGTAAATTATTGGATTAAATAATTTCTAAGGATGCTTCCAGGTCTAAAATTATAGCAAATCTTCTAGATAAGCAAAAGAACAACAAAAAAAAACTGTTTGATTACAGACAGCTCTCTAAGCAACAGCTCTGTACTTTCACAACTCCTTAATGGGCAGAGCTGATTTTTAGGAATTACCTGGAAGAACGTAAGACCATGAGGTTCCACTTTCAAACCATATGTCCAAGATGTCCTGTCCTGGCACATACTCCAAGGCCTCGGGACCGCCAGCCTAGTGGAGAATGGAAAAACATCTTTCTTACACAAAGGCCACAGTCATACAGTAAGGACTGTCTGAGGACTGAAGATATGGAAATAAAAACACTAAATCCACGTTTTCCAATAAAACCGAGCATTCAGAAGCATTTCCTTGTTCAGCACAGCTCCCTCTGCTGGCAGGTGCAGGAACTACAGCCACTTGGTTATCAGCCATATACCTCACAGTTTTGAGTTTCAATGTGAGAGGCTATTTCTCTCTGATTCAAGTACATCTGCCTTGTGGACTATGTGGGTCAGAATTAGTCTTGACCCCCAGTGAGATCACAAGCAAGCCTATCATGGCTGCCTGGTTCAATGCTACAGTTTGCTGCCAAACTCCATACCCACTCCCAGACTGCACTGCTTCCCATTTATATTAAGTCAATTCATTAATGTCCCATTACTATATGATCACTATTGACTCTAACGGTCTCTCCCATTGTCCTTCAGTCGTGAAATACCACAAAGGCTGCTAAATACAGAAAGAAGCTTACCTGAGATAAGACTTCTTTTGGAAGAAGTTGCTCAGGAGGAAGAGTCCACCAGATATCACTGCCATGTTGCTCCACTAGGTTAGCAAGATGCTCAATGGTTTGGCTATTTTAGGGGCAGAATTATTGAATTTTACTTAAATATTCAGTTACTGCAATTTACTATTGTAATAAGTTAGATTTTAAAATTCAAATACAGTAGTATCTTTTTGTATTTTTTTCTTTCTTTTTTTTTTTTTTTGATGGTGCTCAGGATAAAATTCTAGCCTTGTTCATGCTAAGCAAACATTCTACCATTGAATTACATCCCCAGTCTTATTTTTGCGGTGTCAGAAATACTAGGGTTTGAGCTTGGGCCTTGCACTTACTAGGCAGTCACTCTACCATCTGAATCTTGCCCAAGTCCTTTTTTTTTTTTTCTTCCTTTTGCCAGTTGTGGGGTTTGAACTCTGGGCCTGGATGCTTGAGCACTTTTGTGCTCAAGGTTAGTGCCCTACCACTTGTGAGCCACAGCTCCACTTGTATCTTTTTTGATTGTTTGTTTAGTGGAAATAAGAGTCTTACGGACTTTCCTGCCTGAGCTGGCTTAGAACTGAGGTCCTATGGTCTCAGCCTCCTGAGTATATAGGATTACAGGCATGACGTGGTGCCAGGACCTAGGTCTTTTTTGTTGCTTGAGTTATTTTCAGATAGTCAGATATTCTTGTATTTTTGCCCAGGGCTGCTGTATCTTGTTATATAGTTAGAGCATGTATCACCATGCCCTGCTTGTGTGTTGAGATCAGGATCTCACTAACTGACGCAGCCCCCCAACCCCCACCCCACTGGTCTCAAACCATAATCCTCCTGATCTCTACCTGCTCAGTAGCTGGATAACAGATGTAAGCCACCATGTGTTTTCTAGATTTGGGAGAATGAGTTTTGTCATATATCCCAGGCTGGCCTCTACCTCATTGTGTAGTCCAGGCTAGGCTTGAACTCCCAAGCCTCCTGCTTTCACTTCCCAAGTGCTGGGATTACAAGCATCTTTTCTAACTTCCTCTGGTATTTTAGTAGAATTTTTTATTGCTTGCTTGGCTGCTGTCATCATCTTAAATTCAATATGAATAAAAACAAATGGATCATATATAAACTCAAAAGAAAAAAAAAGACTTCTCCTTGACCTCCTTTTTCAGTTAATAATTTCCCCTATTTCTCTCAATCTATTTGCTGTCCAACTACCAAGACCTGAAACCTTTTAATTACCTTCCCTCCAACAATTCCTGCCCAAATTAAGTCAACATGTCTGTCAGTTCTAACTCCGAAGTATTACGGTTGACATTCTGTCAGTCCAAACTACATGAAGATTTATACAATGGTCTGAAATTTCCCTTCCTCCAATCCTTTAATTTACATGATACATCTTGACATAGATGCATTGCTCAAACTGTTCATATCACATGAATTCTCCACTTAAAAGCTCCCAGACTCCTGACAGACCCACATCCAAACCTGCCTACACAAGAAGCAATGGACTAGAGCACGGAATGGACTGCAGCTCTCCAGGCTTAGGTTCTGACTCTGGCACGCTCATCATATGGCCATGCACAAGTGTTCAAACAACAAGAATAACCCCAAAACCTGCTCAGCACCTCCACCTTTGGGCATCTAGTACAAGATATAGCAGTGAACAAAACAGACAAGAGGCCTGTCTTAATGAGACTAAGTTCAGTGACCTACATACAGCACTTCCCTCAGAATAACTCAGGAGAGATTATACCAGAATTTAACATATTGCCTTGGATACAAGACCAATGCCAACAAATGCATACCCTATGATGCTGAAACTGATCATAAAATTATCTGAAAAGTAAACTCAGAAAAAAAGATGCGCATATCAATAACAAGCTTAATTTATTAAAATATTTACCTTATTGTGGCAGTTTTGCTGATGGACAGTTTCTCTGTGTTGCTTTCTATTTAGGCCCAGTAAGTATAGTGGTCAAGGACATGGACCCTGCAGCTTTGGGTCTGATTTCTGGCTCTATCAATAACCACTCATATGATCCTGGGAAAGGCACTTAGCATCTCTATGCCTCAAATCCTTTATTTGTAAGTTTCCAATACAGCATTATTAAAAGACTTATTATGAGTATCAATAACATAAAATGCCTACAACTATATGTGTGTGTGTGCATATGCAATATATGCATCTAAACTGATTCATTTAGGCTAGGTAAATTTATGTTAATCATTAGTAAAACATTAAAGTACTGAGCCAGGCACTGGGAGCTCATGAGGCTGAGATCTGAGGATCGAGATTCAAAGCCAGCCAGGGTGGGAAAGTCTATATCTCCAATAAACTACTCAGAAAAGGTTGGAAATGGAACTGTGGCTCAAGTGGTAGAGCACTAGCTCAGGGACAGCGCCCAGGCCCTGAGTTCAAGCCCCAGGACTGGCATACACACTAAGAAAATTAAAGTACACATAGTAAAGCCAACTTCTCCTCCTTGGGATCATATTCCATTGGTGCAAGTAACTAGGAATTTTCTGTGGTCCACAGAGACAGTGGTGGGGGAAAGAGAAGCAAAGAGGAAAAAGTGCCAAGTTCTTAATTTGCGTCTGTGTCTTATTCATCATGACTTCACAGAGCAAACGTTCCCTAGATCTTAAATTCATAGAAAAATTGAGTGTTTACAAAAAAAATGTGGGAAGCAGAAATTAAGTAGGCTACATAAATGAAGTATGCTCTAAAACTGAAATCTGAAATATCTTAGAAAAGATTTTATAAAGGATAGATTGAAAACAATATAATGCTACCAGCAGACTCTGAAGGATTTATAAATGACAGGAATGTAAATGAGCACAAAATTCATATTGCTAAAATAGCTACTCATCTCAGGTGGACTTTAACTATGAAGATAAAATCCTATTATAAAACCATAAAAACTTTATGAAGTAAGTACCTAGCTATACGACAATAATGTTTAGTTACATATTACTAGTTTACACAATTTGCACACTTTATCAGTTAAGAAAATACACTGCCTTTTGTCTTGTTAGTTTGTTTATATTTGAGAGGGTAAGGGAGAACATATAAAAGATGGTACAAGATGAACAAATACAACAGGGATATTTACTAGACACTATGTGGAAAATGAATTGGACATCTTGTGGGTGGGGATGGGAGGGAAAGACCGGGAGAGAGCACCGGTAGGAGAGACATAGTTCACAAAGAATTGTACTTATTACCTAATTCATGTAACTGTAGCCCTCTGTATATCAACTCTACAATAAAAATTCTAAAAAAATGAAGAAAATAAATCTAATGCCTATGAGAAAAAGAAAGCTGGGCATGGTGCCACAGGCCTACCCCATGCAGTTGGAGGCTTAAGGCCAACTTGGACCATATAACAAACTTCTGTTGAACTTTGACACCTAACAAAATAACAAAGCAGTCACAAAGCACAAAGTACATATAGATAGATAATTATAGTTACTATACTCAGATACCAACTATAAAATTTTCATTAAAAAAGAATGATACTGGGCTGGGAATTTGGATTATTGGTAGAGTGCTTGCCTAGCATGCATGAGGCCCTGGGTTTGATTCCTCAGTACCACATAAACAGAAAAAGGCAGAAGTGGTGCTGTGGCTCAAATGGTAGAGTGCTATCGTTAAGCAAACGAAGCTCAAGGACAGTGCCCAGACCCTGAGTTAAAGTTCCAGACTGCCCCCCTCAAAAAAAAGAATGATACTAAAATTCTAAAAATGTATGTCATTTGCCCTGTTTTTATTTTGTTTTGCTAACTCAGGCAAATTATAGTTTAAATATATTGAAATAAACAGATAAAATATATATAATGTAGAAATATTAAGATTCATATTATCATGAGTCCAAAGGAGTTGCATGTGCACACTAACCTACGCTTTTCAAACACTTTGCAAGCACTCTGTACACTGTACACAGTAGCTGTTTCCAGAGGAACAAGTAAGATGGTTCATGCAGGCCTTGAAAGTATGTTTCTCGAAGTCACAGGTCAGAGCTGATTTTGGTTCTCTCTTCCGCCTTTTTAACTGATCTATCTTGACAAGCCCTGCCCCTGAACTTGCACTTCTATTCTCTGCAGCTGACTAAGCAATAGAGAGGACTAATAACGACTAACAAGGACTGTGAATCACATGGGAGGCTGGGGATCTTGGCAACTCAGGAGATTAGTGTGTTGACAGAGCAAGCACTGAGTCCAAAGACCACTCCACCTGCCAGTTATTGCCCATTGACAGGAATAAAGAACAATATTTTACTGAGCTTCAGTTTCTGTTAACAGTAGGAAAAAGTTATAGCAAACAAGGCTACTGAAAAGTATTATTTTGAAAAGTCTTAATAATACAGAATAAGTTTACCATTAAAGCTACTCCACAGGCATTTTAGAATGCCAAATTCAACTCACTGAATCTTTTTGTCATATTCTTAACTTCCAGGTAACTCAGCAATCTATCTGGCTATACTCAACAATATTACTGAGTCTATAAAAGAACCAAAGAAGGATTTCAATTTTGCTGTTGTCATGTTAAGGTAACTGTAAAATCCCACCAAACTTAAATTAATCCTAGGGTTTTATGCATGCTAGGCAAGTTCTCTACTTCCAATCTATACCCTTAGCCAATGATACCTCAATTTTTTTTTGGGGGGGACCGGTTGTGGGGCCTAAACTCTGGGCCTGGGCGCTGTCCCTCAGCTCTTCAGCTCAAGGCTAGCACTCTACCACTTGAGCCACAGCACCACTTCAGGCTTTTTTTTTCTGCTTATGTGGTGCTGAGGAATCAAACCCAGGGCCTCATGCATGCAAGGCAAGCGCTCTACCAGGGAGCCACCTTCCCAGCCCGATACCTCAAATTCTTAACCTTGTATTTTACATACGTTTTATTTATAAATTTATACTTTTTTTTTCTTTCAGAAAGGTCTCTTTAGCAAGGAAGAAAGTTTGCTTGATTTTTTCTTTTAAGTTAACTAGTAATACATTTTAGAAATGACATAACCACAAATGCTATCTGTGCAAATGAAAATCAAATCTGCTTAACCAGTTTCAAGCTGGGCACTGGTGGCTCAATGCCTATAATCCTAG